TTGGATTAGCTGTCTGAACTCTGTGCCACCCACTCTCCCCCCACTGCTTGTAGTGGGAAAGTTGGGAGCACAGCAAGTATCAGAAGCTGAGGAAGGCCTTGAATTTTGTGTAAGCACTTCCCAATGCCAACTAAAAAGGCACCTTATCAGCACTTTTCTCAGGGTAAATCCAGAACCATAGCTTCATACCAGCCATTGTGAAGAAAGCTAACTCTTTCCTGCCCAAAACCAGCACACTATGCTAGCAGAACAGTTTGTAGTCGTTCAGATTCTCCACAGCCACCTTGACTATTTGAGCTAACAGGTTAACTGGTAAGAGCTGACTGGCAGCTTCTCGTCCTCTCTGTGAATCAACGTTAATGGGGACTAGAATGTGTAATCAGTACTGTAATGAGACTTGAGAAGTCAGCGGTCTTATACCTGCCCTGAAGAGCATCCGTCTGGTAAATTTAAGCAGTGAAGTCTTAAAAATATTTGAGTTTTTCAGAGAAGAAAGGATTTTGGTTTTAATATAGGCAACATAAAACAGTACTTAGTCCCGTTATTATAAATGGCTATATAAAGTGGCATAGTTATAAAAAAAACTAACAACCTGACTCTACCATCTTCTCTGTTGCCAGCAGTCTCCAGAAGTAGGGTTAGGAGGCTATCCAGCAGTGAAAGTTGTTTCAGTCTGATAACCCAGAATTACCAATCTGATCTATGAGATACAGGTGTAGTACACAGGTTCTACTCAGTCATAATGTTCTCTTATAGTAGGTCTTACACCCTATGTTCCTCAAACATCTCACAGTCTAAAATTTATAGTACACAAATTGATGGGAAAAGTTACCAGAGAAAGTGGAGGGAAGAGACTTTTTGTTTGAAAGGTACACAATTTACTTTGGGGGCACTTGCCTCTTTTTCTCTCTCTTTTCTACAATTGATAGTATCATTGAGGAAGTTGGGGGTGGGGGGGGAAGGAAGTTTAAAACTGGATATATTCCAAATATATTTTATTTTCTTGCCTGAATTTGTTATATAAGATATATGCAGAAAGAATAAATAAAGCAGGCAGGACAGTTTTTGCTGAAAAACATGAGGTTTTGATAGGTGAAGTGATTTAAATAAACAGTAATTAATTTTTTGCAGTTTACATCAGGTGTGGTAGAATGGTAAATGTGCTTTAAGCAAATTGATTAATCAACAAAGCTGTCATCCAGCAAATGATCAGACAAAAAGTGGAACAGTACAGACGAAAAAAGATCCAATAAGCTGGTAACTGAATGTGAAAGTTCCTTGCCCTGACAATCACTAAGGTCACTCTGTTAGCTATTGCTGGTCTTTAGAAAGGTCATAGAGACACAACAGGGAATATTAATAACTCTTCAAGCCTTAAATAACAAAGACCATCCTTTAGAGTTCTGTGGGCCATTTATGTTGGTAGATACAGCTATAGGTTTGTCTCATCCTAGGATGCACGATGAGTGGATCATTCTGCAAATTGAACTTAAACCATGGCATTCTCAAGAAAAAAAAGAATATCCACACAAAATTAAATACGGCAGAGTTCCATCACAGGCAAACCCTCAATATCTTTTCAATTAGCAACTCTTTTATGAAATCTGGTGGCACATGTTCCAAAATTTTTAATCCATTTTTTTATTTTCAAGCCATACTCAACTGCACATTTGAAAAAAAGCTAATTGTTTTTCTTCAACTTTATTTTCTTTTTAAGTCCTACATGTTCTAAATGCATTTAAACTAGCCTGAAAAACAGTTTTGCGTATGTTCAAAGCAATAGATCTCAAGGATGTTAATTAGCCCTGGATGTGGAAATATATCATGTTTCATAAAATAGTTAGTAACCTAAACCTATTTGTCACTTATATAATTCTGAAAGTTCATTTCTACTACCATTACGAACAACTCAGGAAGAGGGTACGCTTTGAAGTACAACTATGATTGATTAGACTAAAGAAATTCCAGGGCTTCATTGTGTACTACTCTAATCTTTTGAAAAGTGAATGAGCAGCAGATGGCCTAATAAAGCCACTCTGTATGTTTGCCCAGTATGGATTAGCTCTGAAGGGATTGGTTCAACACTTTAGAGTACACATATATTTGGAATACATCTGTCTTAGTCAAGACATGGGAAAGAGAAACTTCGAACCACTTGGAATTAATCCAGCATCAGCACTGCTTCTGAATGAAATTTTAATGGGATATGACTATTGTTCTGTTAGCTTTCTTGGAAGAATGCAGCTGTGAATAGTATAGACGTGCAATTTTGATGGCTACTGGACAGGACTGTTTATGCTTACTTTTGAAATAAAAATATTGTTGTTAGAGGCTGTGTTCTAGCCGACGTGTTGATAAGGAATCGCATTTGTTTTCTAGTAGTCAATCCAGTATCCTCCAATACCTAAACTGACTGAAATTAACCACAGCCATACAAAACATATTTTTCCTAACCAGTATTAAACTTGTCAGTGTGAGGCTTTAAAAGTATGTACGTGTTATTTCAACCCCATGCAATACCATATGTTAAATCACAAGATTCTTTTTAACTCCCAATTTGTGTACAACTTGCAAATGTGAAAGATCTATGGTGTGTGGATCGCAGATTAGGTATGAAATACCCGCCTCTCCCATACATTCAGAAACAGGTCAGTCAAGCTGAAAAAGCACGACATACCCATACCAACTAAAGAGTTCTGTACAACACTGAGCAATTTGGGAGTTTTTAGATTTTTGTATTAATATGTTGCAATTCAGGTGACATCTAGTTCATTGAAAAGCTGTGCCTTTCAGTAAGTTTCTCTGCTAATGTGGCTGCACGAGTATTGAGACTGTTGGGCGGGATTGGTCTCATGCTGTTCCTAACTGCCGTACTCTTGTTTTCTGTTTTGCAGTAATAACAAGCAGTGGCTACAGCCCAAGATCAGCGCACCAGTACTCTCCGCAGATATATCCCTCCAAGTTAGTGTCTGCACCTCGTCTAGTCTTTTACAGGGAATTGACCTTGGCTGTAGGCAGTCCTGTGGTTTGTTGCAAACAAGTGTTCCTCAGCAGAAGAAACAGAGAGAAAGAAAAATACTTAATCCGCAGTACTGACTCTGTTATAGCTCGCTCTCTGACTGTTTTTTCCTCACGTAGCTGCAGACTAAGATCCTGCGCTGTGCAGAATGGTATTGCTGCACAAGAAATAGTTTCGAATATCTGCACACAACAGAAGGAAAAAATCAGACATCAGCATCTTAGTGGTGCTGGCAATGTAGACAGGCTTATTTTGAAGAAGACAGTTTATATTTAGAAATCACAATTGCGTGTGCAAGGACCATACTGAAGGGTAACCCTGTCATAGACCTTCCCAGTGCCAGCACTGCCAAACACTTCCAAATATTCATGAACCACCCTTTCCTTCTCCTATACCATAAGATTTAAAAAGCAAATAAATTTGATTAGTTTTTAATCTCTTTTTTTAATTATTATTTTAGACAATAGGTGTTGTTAGGAATGCAAAATTTATTTCACTTATTTTGAAGAAAACAGAGCAGTCACATGAATCCAGGAGCAGGAATTTTAGGAAAAAGCACCAAAGATGTTATGTGAAACTGCTGCAGTTCACAGCTTATCAGTTTGCTTGTTCTGCAGTCGGTGTTGTGCACAAAGGTGCTTGACTGCAGTATATGTCATCTGTGTTTCCCTGTATTCAGTACAGTGACCTGTGTGACTTTGATAGACTTTTTCAAGTTTCTTTAACAAGTTTGCATTCATATCATGATAGCCAATATTTATTGATACAGAAAGTATGTGCCTAAACTAAGAACAGCCCTCATTCCACTTAAAACAGGTTTTGGCAAACCATATCAGATACTTCTGGCCAAATACATTACATGGTTTAATAGAATTTTTAATCTACTGTTATAATTCATTGGCATCTAAATTAATGAGTAATCCTTTTCTGATAGTAACTGCTGCCAACTGTACTGAACTAATTAGAATGAAAAAAACTAAAAAAAAAAAAATTAGAATCTGAAATTTAGTCATGGCTTTTAATGGCCAGGTTTCAGTTAGCGTAATTCTGCAGAGTGTGTTTATTCAACTCTTGGTCCATAAAGTCTTATTTGACTTACAAAACAATCCAAGACAAATGCTTCTCTGTGTGCTTTTGCAACTCTGGAGGGCAAAAATTTTAAACTTGATTTTTTTCAATCTGCCCATAAAACCCCAGTATTCATAAATAAGAGGCCATTTTTATTTCCATTCTGTTTCTCTAGCCCATATTTTCCAAATGTTTAAAGCCCATCTGGTTACCAAAGTATTGCTGTCAATATTTTTCGTGCTTCTCTCAATGGGCATGACCCATCTCCCATTGAAGCTAGAGGCTAGATGTCTGTTGAAGCAGAACCCTACACAGAGGATGTATTGGAGTAGCTTTAATGTTCACCTCTGTATTTCCTTTATTCTTCTAGTGTAAGTTTCCCTCCAGTGGACTAAAAATGTATGGGGGCTTTTCTGATATAAGCATACTGATCTCAGCTGAAAGGGGTCAAATCCATAAAAAGCCATATTGCGGTGGCACAGTCCACCTTGAGCTGGATGCCGTGGCTTGAGAATTAAATTGTGGTGATGGGACAGCGCAAAATTTTCACCATGCCCTGGGGAATGTGAGACGGAATGGTTTTTCAGCTTATTTCAGTGGGGGATGGAATAAATCCCAGAAGAGGAGCAGTTGGCAGAATAATGAACTGCCTTTGGACGTCTTTAAACCTTTTTCTTTACTTCATTGCTTGAATCAACATACAAAGTATTTGTTGCCACAGTAATGATATTTTTCCTAATATTTAGGCCCTATCCACACATTCTTTCTACACCAGCAGCTCAAACAATGTCTGCCTATGCCGGACAAACCCAGTATTCAGGAATGCAGCAACCAGCGGTCTATACAGCCTACTCGCAGACAGGACAGCCGTACAGCTTACCCACTTACGGTATTTGACTTCTTATTACTTCACCTTCATAGAAGTAAGAGCAATCCCAACATGAACTTTTTTGCTTTCTTTTTTTTTTTTAATTTTCCCAACTGTAAGAAAGTATTTAAAGAATCAGTTGACAATTAATTTCTTATACAGATTTGGGTGTAATGTTGCCAGGCATCAAGACGGAAAGTGGGCTCTCGCAGACCCAATCACCACTGCAGAGTGGCTGCCTCAGTTACAGCCCAGGGTTTTCCACCCCACAGCCAGGCCAAACACCCTACTCTTACCAGATGCCAGGTGAGTAGCCACCACTGTCAAGGCTCATTCCATCCCACTGCTACCAATGGCCCCTCTTCCCTCATACTTATGATATGTTTTCCCTCCGTTTTTCTGTGTTCTGGCAAGTACTTTTATCACTGACAGCTAGTTTTACCTCTAAAATTTAAAGCTAAGTATTTTTTTTTTCCCAGTACTAATATAAATGTATGTATTCATTTTATTTATCTGTTATTTTAGATCTGCTCATGCAAGGCAGTCCCTATTTGCACTTTCATTTTGTTATGGGGTAAAGTCACATGGCAGGACTGGAAGCATTTGTTGTATTTATTAACATACACAAGTCACTTTTCCTTGTTTCCATGTGTCTGAGTATGACATCACTTGATACTTGTTTCTCTTTGGATTAACGTAATTTGTTAGAATTTCTCCCTAATTCACATTTATGCTTTCATTTATTACTCAATTATTAATTCACTTATTAACTTTTAATCATTGATAACCTGTTTTATTTGGATAATTTTTAAGCTTCATATACAACGGTTAATTTATTAACTATTAGAAATTAAAATATGAATCCTCTGACACATTGGAAGCAAGAACATGCCTTATCACAGATTGATTAGAAACACTGGATCATTTTTCTTTGGAAAGTTTTTGTTTCATAAGCGAACATACATTGAAGTGTTAGAACTTAGAAATCAAGGCAAAAGAGAAATAACAGTATTTGAGGAGAGATGAGACACTGCAGTAAACTGAAAAATGCTTTCTCAATCAGTGTAATGACTCAGTGCCATTATCTTCCTTGCACGGTGGAAAGCAGAATGTATGCCTGAATGTGTGGAAGTAGCGTTTCATTTCTTTTAAAGTTTTATTACAATGTTTTCTTGTTTAAATAGAAAATAAAAGTTGTTTGTTCTTTTGATTCGTCTGTATCTTAACATAGAATACTGTATTTAGAATTTTATTTAGATTCACAAGCAAGTTCTTGCAGTTAATTGTATTTTTTAATTTCAGGTTCTAGTTTTACACCATCATCCACTATTTATGCAAATAATTCTGTTTCAAATTCTACGAACTTCAGTAGTTCACAACAGGTATGAATACTAACATTTTTGTATGTCAATTACAAAAGGGTTTATATAGAATCATAGAATCACTAGGCTGGAAAAGACCTTAGAGATCATCCAGTCCAACCGTATCTGTCCACCACTAACCCATATCTCTCAGCACCTCATCCACCCGTCTCTTAAACACATCCAGGGATGGTGACTCCACCACCTCCCTGGGCAGCCTGTTCCAGTGTGTGATAACCCTTTCAGTGAAGAACTTCTTCCTTACATCCAATCTAAACCTCCCCTGACCCAGCTTGAGTCCATTCCCCCTCGTCCGATCATCTGTCATTAGGGAGAAGAGACCAACACCCACTTCTCCACAACCTCCTTTCAGGTAGTTGTAGGCAGTGATCAGGTCTCCTCTCAGCCTCCTCTAATATATATATAACTCTAATGATAGCATGATAATTTAGATCTGTTATCTTGAAGTAGACCTACTGTGGCTCAATGCTATTTTCTGTGTGAAGCCTAGCTTTCAGTGGAAGCCTTGTTGAATCATTTGGCATTTAAATACTTCAGCATCCTCCCTGTAGTCCTGTAGTAGACATCCTTAAATTTAAAAAATGTTAAATATCCCTAAATTTTAAAATAATCTAAGGTAAACCCCCAAAATGCTTGCAAAGTCAGATGATTGCACCCTTACAAATATTTAATGGAGAAACTACTCATTACTCTACTTAATTAAATACTCTGCTATATTTGCTGTTCTAGGATTATCCATCATATACAGCTTTTGGCCAAAATCAATATGCACAGTATTACTCAGCATCAACATATGGTGCATATATGACCTCAAACAACACAGCTGATGGCACTTCATCATCATCAACCTACCAGTTACAGGACTCTCTCCCTGGCCTGACTAGTCAACCAGGTACAGACTTACATTCAGGTGAAAATATTTTTTGTATTTTATTCTGTACTTGTATAAAGACAAGATTTCCCTATCCAACTTGTCTGAATATTGACATTTTAAACTCATGCCTTTCAGAAAACTGTATTATGCAAACCAGCCAAAAGAAGCCTTGGTTTTTTTTCTTTGTTTAGTTAGGAAACCTGTCTCGTTTGTTTGTTAGTTCAATAAAGCTCTTTGCAGACTGAGATGTTTGTATGTGGAAGGAGCAGGCCTGAAAAAAGTTACATCAGTCTGGTAGGGATCTGTTAGTGCTGAAAACAACCATGTGGTAACAAACCTTTAGTAAATTTTGAAATAAAAATTACTGATATTGGGACATTGCTGTATCCAACTACATGTTCTCAAGTATTGCTGTAAAGGTATACAAGCTGTGTTTCCTAATTCACAAACTTGGGTATCTAAGAATAGAGCAATTGGTTATTAGCACAAGTCTCTAAAAAAACATCAGTGAAGTAGTTGCAGTAACCAAAAGGGACTGGGTTTGCCTGCCCAATTTTGCCCATCACACACATCACTGCAGCACCAGGCTCTGGGCCTCAGCTGTATTCCCAGGGAACTGTTCCCTGCTAATGGCAGCTCTTCCTTTTTTTTCTTGTTATCATTAAAAAGTTGAAATTTTAATTGCATGAGTTGAAAGTTTTCTTTGCCAACAGTTTTCCTCAGGCTGATTTTTAAAGACAGTGTATGTGTGTTTGTGGGATGGTATGGAATGGATATAGGGAGATACACATTCCCTTGGATTTTGATCAAAGCATGAAATGGTATTCAGTAGTCTCAGAATGCAAATTTAGGAATAAAAAGCTAAGAGGTAACTTGAAATCAATCAAATGAAATTTCAACAGTTGCAGGACATCCATAACAAAAATCATATGTGAAGTATTTTTAAAAGACTGTGAGCAGTACTCAGAAGTGATGTTTTGAAAATTGTGCATGTCCTGTATACTTTTCCTTGTCCTTTGTTATTCCCACATATTCTTGAGAAAATCAGTGTCTTGTATTGTCTCTCTGCAAGGTCTCCACGGCATGGGAGGCTTCATGCTGGAGATGAACCAGTGTATGAGCATCTTTGATAAAGTGGTTCTTCAGTGTTCTGGTTTTAACATTTTCCTCTTGCTTTATTGAATCTCTGATGCTGCTCATAGATGCAGTGGGAGAAGGCAATGACATATGTTTATTAGGCATGTGTTGAATATTGGAGAGGCTAAAAAATTTCAAACATTGCAAGAAAAACTGTTGTCTTGTATGAGATACAGTACAAACTCTTCTTGAGGGTAAGGTTTTCAGTACTCTGGTACTAGAATTTCTCACATTCTTTTAAGTTACATGCTGAAGTTTTTCTTTTATCAGCATTGGCCTCATTTCTAAAGCAAACGGAGGATAAGAAAATGAAGTTGCTCCTTTACCCTGCTGTTGGTCAAAAGAAAATCAAGCAATTTAGCCTACAGTTGTTCAAAAACCCATGCACTACTGACTTCTGCAGTTCTAAAATAGATGCATACCTTGCGTTCAAGTAAGAGACAGCTGCTCATTCTGATTTAGAGATTAGCATAATGAAATAAAGTTGGCTTTAAATATCTAGAACTTACAAGGTACAGTGATTAGTTATAGTACTGATTAATGGATAATTACGCAATCATGTACAGCATTGACCCAAGCAGAAGCCTGAGGCAACTCGTAATGGCTAATGCTAAATGAAGATTGAAGTTATTTACTTCACTTTTTAGATACTTTCAGAGAACATTTAGAACAAGGCTGGTTTTATATTTTATTTTTGGTAGATTAGAGTAAACCCAGTCATTGAGAACAGATGTTTTAATACATTACTGTAAAAATGAGTCTTGATTTGTTGTAAAATATTGAAATGTTATAAATATGATGACTTTTGGGGTAATAATGTAAACATTCAACTTAATTAAGTTCTGCCTTTTCATTTCTGGAGTTTTATTTTGGGATATTTCTTCCACTGTCAGAAAAATTTAGGAAATTATATTTTCATACAGAACTCTTGCATACTGAGAACATCTTTCGAAGTCAGTGTAGGATCTTTCTACATGAGAATTATGGTTATGAAGAACCTTTTTGCACATTTGTACATTTACCAAAGTATATTTTGCTGTTCTTCTTATGGAGAAAGAACTAAGATAATGTGACTTAATTGATTGCTCCAGTGCCTGCAGTGTCCTTACTGACATCAACACCGTTCGCTGGGAATAGAAATTATTAGTCAACAAGAACTCTCTCTCCCTTCTGTAGGGACAGAGTAAAACCAGCATGGGAACATTGTTTATTAGATATTATTATTGCTGCTCGTTTCTTAACAAAGAAGAGTTTGGGCTGAAGAGAAACTACTATAGAATGCATATGATCCTTATCCGAATCAGGACAGACCCACCTAGTGATATCTAGAATAAATTCTCAAATTCCAGGTTTGAAAAAATCTTTTTATCTTCTGCCTGAAAGTTTGTCTCTGCTCTGCACAAGCAGAGAAGCGCATTGGTTTTACGACATTGAACTAGTCATTACCTAGTTCAAGAAAAAAGTAGTAGTATCTTCTTCCAGGTGATAGAATGATTTGAGTACTTTCCCAGGTTGTGAGACAGACAGATTTTGATTTCCTCCTGTTTCATGGAGGAAAACACTGGAGAGTAAAGGGGTGTGTATTCTTGGTCATGAAAATATGTCTATATTTCAACCAGCATGCCCAGGAGAAGGCAGTGGAACCTGGATTATGTCCTTCTCACAGTAAATGTCCTAACCAAATGCTAAGGAACTAACTTTCTTCTTGTTCTCCCCTTTCCTTGAATCTTGAATTCTTTCCTCACAATATCTAGAGCTCCCATTTGGGAATGTGACATTATCGGCTGAAGCCTTATTCTTCCAAGAAATACAACCGTATTTTTCCAGTCGAGATAGATAAATATATCTTCCCACTGTATTTATTTTAATAATCTTCTGTATGTAGTTCACTGTAAGGTATAAATAAATGATGGAATAGATTAAGAATTTAACTGTTGTTTTACATTATGCACAGTTTCTTAATTGAGACTGCAGTCTATTTTTCTTCTTAGAGCTTGCTGGACCAGAATTGGATTTTTCTTTGTTGTGGAGGGAGAATGAGGTGAATGACCCAGGGAAGATCACAGAAACAGTCATTCACAGTAGAAGGGATCTATGTGGGTCTTTTGGTCCAACCTACTCATGGACAAGCCAACTTAGATCATGTTGCTCAGGGCTGTGTCCAATGGAGATTTAAGTATCTCCAAGGATGGAAAATGCACAGCCTCTCTGGGGACCTGTCACAGGGCCTGACCACTCTGAGTCAAGGATTTTTTCTTTGTACCCAATGGGAGCATCCCTTGCAGTGATTTCTATCTGTTTCATCTTGTCCTTTCTCTGCATACCTCTCTGAAGAGTCACTCAGCCTTTCCTCTTGCATACTCAGCCCCTTAACTGTCTTGGTGGCCTTCACCTGGGCTAACTCCAGCTTGTCAATTGTTTCCTTTCTACTCGGAAACACAAAACTAGACATTTTTCCAGAAGTGGTCTTGCAAGTTCAGAACAGAGCAGAAAAATGACTCTCCTTGATCTGCTTGACACTTAGGGACTCTTTAGTGAAAATTAAGGATGTTCAGATACCAGCTCAGAATCAGATGCATCGTAGATGATTCTTGGGAAATGTTTTTACCAAGTGTTACTGTATTCTGCAGAAGTGCCATCATGAGCACTTTTAACAAATATTACCAAAGTGGCCCAGAAACACAGGATTACATGCAGCACAAGGACTGCCTTGACTCAAAGTCTGTAGTAGATGTAAGATCTAAGCTTTATCCTTTCCTTCTTTAAGGGAGAAAAATTAAATTGTTCATAGGATAGATGATGGATGATTTATGTCATTTGACACTGAGGAACCTAGCCAAACTGCATTTATTGCTAGCACTTTTAAAAGGGCATTAAATGTATGAGCTATGGCATAAAAATACTTTGTAAGGGAAAGTTTCACACCATCCTTCCTGGAGCTACCTTCTTCAGTCTGTCTGTCTTACATAGTTACTGGTTTGTGATCACCTCTAAAGTCCTTTGTTACCAGTAGAGGCAAAGAGTTTAAATGGGTAAATCAGGGATGGGTCTCTGTTAAGAGCAACTCTACTGTGCCACATCAGAGGTCCTTCTAGCACATCTTCTCTCCGACAGCAGACAATAGCTGATGCTTAGAGAAAGATGATCAGAATGTAGCAAGTATGACTTCACCCTCTTTCTGGTAGTAACTGAAATAATGCATTTAATATTATGACTTTCTTCTGCCAATTTATGGGCAGAAGTAAGGTGAAAAAAAAAGTGAACTCTACTGAAGAGCAGGTGACATGGGAGGAGGAGATGAAGCAGGAAGCTGACTGGCTCTTCTGGCACGTGGGTGAGTGCCAAAGGGTGTTCTGGTAAGTGTTAATGCAGGGCTTGGAAATAAGTCTAACTGAACTCCAAATGTGGGAAATGAACTATGACTAAAGGCACCTCATGTTTTGAGAAGTTATTAGTGTGACTTAAAATACATCTTACTTGGATATATCAGTATTTTGGATGTGTATTTGTTTATATGTCTGTACATGCATATGTGTCGTTTTAATCCTTCCCTTGTTCCCTTCATTGTTACCCATGTTTTGTTGGTAAAGTCAGAAGTGGTTTTGGTATCTGCCTGTTCCATCTACATAAGGCAAACCATGCCATCACTCATTTTGTACAACATCTTCAGGTGCATCTTGTGGTTGAGTCTGCATGCAGACATGGCTAGCTATGAGGAAAGAAGCTTATTATTTAAAAAGCAGCACTAATTTTGCCATGATTGGTTGACTTTACAGGTGAGTTTGACACAGTGCAGAGCCCCTCCACGCCAATCAAAGATCTTGATGAGAGAACATGTAGGAGTTCTGGGTCAAAGTCTCGGGGTAGAGGGCGGAAGAATAATCCATCACCCCCTCCGGACAGTGATTTGGAGGTATGCCTGGAGTAATTGATGAATGGTCATGTGGCGGCTTCTTCTGATGTAAAGTAAATTCTGAAAGCTACAGCTCTAGAAATAGCTTAAAGCATTTTAGAAAACATCATGGACTCGGTCTCACCAACTGAATATAACAGATACTATCTGCTGTTTTAACATACATGCACAATGAAACACTACTCTTCTGAATGACAGAGTTAGGCAGAAAAGTAAATGTGATTCAGCCTTGCCCTTTTTAGCTCTAAGATTGTGGGTTTCAGTTTCTCATGCAATAGAACACCAGAATTGTTGAGACTTCCATATTCAAAATTGTCATGTTCTGTTCTTTTTTTTTTTAATAGCAAATCTCAAATATGTTGCTCAGCTTAATTACATGTGTTTATGAACACAGTATAAATATGCAGGATCATCTAGCCATGGCCTTTCAAATACTTAAGCACAGGTTTGTCCTTGTGCTTTGTAAGTAACGTCAGTGGATTTCAGCGAGGCGGCTTACATCAGCAGAGTTATGGCTGTACTTAAGTATGTGCAAGATCAGTGCCTTAGTGAAGAAATATATCTGCCTAATATATGGGGTGACGATTTAAAACACAAGTGACCTCTTAGCAACAGAGTAATTATAGTCTTATTACTCCAGCGTTAGCAGTGCGCTGCTGTACAGCAGCAGGAGGAGGAGGGAGCGGGGTGCCCGTGTGTATATGCAGCACTCCATCTCTGGCACCATGGGAACAGGCTGCCCGCCGGTTCAGTGTGTCCCCTGATGCCATCGGACTGGCACTGGGAGCCAGCAGCCCTGGCCAGCCCTACTGCTGTGCCTTCTCTAACCGGCTCCTGGCACAGCAGCAGACCTGGTGGAACTTGGCTGGCCGCACAGCCACTCCTGGGGTGGCAGGGTGGGCTGCAGCACCAGGCACTGCATGTAAATGACATTGCTTTTATACAGAAAATGTTAACACATACTTTGCTATTCAAAGGATTTAAGTTTTCCAGTGAAAAGACTCTAACTTTTTACACTTCAGTTTTCCTGTTTCTTTTATAGTTTACCAGTGAAAATGAACCCCTTGTCAATATAAGGAGTTTCTCCTTCCCCCCCCCTTTTTTTTTTCTTGAGTTAGAATAATTCATTTTATCCTACAGCATTATTTGCATTCTGTATGACATTATATGTGGCATATAGCACTTTTACCCAAGACTTAGTTCTAGCTATGCAGGAGAACCTTGAATCAGTAAGACTTGCAGGAAATTGAGAATACTCTTTATACTTAACAATTATGTTTAACCCCCGTGACGTTTCTGAAATCTGTGTTATGCAGCTGTTTTGAAAAGCTTTTTAGGGGACAAATAAATGGTTGAAGAGTTCAAAAGTTGCTCTCCTTCTGACTTTTTACCATGCATGATAAACTGTTATTGCTGATTTTCAGGGAAAACTTGCTTGGTTAAACGATTTGTTAAACTTTAGCACTGAGTTGACTTTCAGTCACCTGGGTGGAATGGTGGGTGGTGTTATTTTTTTAATAATACTATCCCTTCTTCTTTATTTCAGCGTGTATTTGTGTGGGATTTGGATGAAACAATCATAGTTTTTCATTCACTGCTCACAGGATCCTATGCACAGAAGTACGGCAAGGTATGTGAACCATGAATTCTGCATCGATTCACTGGGTCAGAGTGATGTGGCCTGCACGCGTTCCTGTTTTTCACCTTACGTGTTCATCACGGTTTGGGGGGTAAGAGTACAGTAAACCTCGTTTTCAGAGCGTTACTGTGGAAAGTCAAGGAGAGAAATGCAACACAGATGCTAAGCGTAATATATGAGGCAGGGCTGAAGCAAAGGGAAGAATTTATAGCGGAATAAGGATGAGTTCCTGAGGTACGTTGGAAGAAACATTGCAGGGAGATAATAGAGTTAATGGACAAATGGAAATAACTGACTGTTGGGATGCATAGATGAAGAAATAAGAAATAAACTGGAGCGATGGATGAATTTATGGTGAAACTGAGGCGTTGGAATTTGCAAGGAAGAGACAGGCCTGCTTCAAGGCCAACTGCAGATGTTATTCTTTGACTCCCCATCTTTTCCGTTGGCTGGCTTCGGGGTGAGTAATGCCGGGGAGTGAATCCCTTTCTCAAGCAGACAGTTGTACTCATCCTCTCCCCTCTGATGAGGTCCAAAAGCAGTTCAGGTCACAGAGCAGAGAGCAGGAGGAAGAGTGAGAGAGGCAGGTGTGGCAACCCTCAGGGGTGGGAGCTTCCCTGCTGAGTCAGAGCTGGTGTGGGAGCCCAGGGAATGGTGCGTGGGCAAGGGGAAAAGGGACCAGGGACCGGTGGGAAGACCAGTGCATAGCAGCAGGAGTGAACTGGGAGGGGTAGAGCTAAAGGCCTGGATAGAGCAATAAATTAGGGCAAATGTATGCAAGGGAAGAGAATGGACAGGGAGATTATTGGTACGCAAATACATGGATGCAGGTTTTGTAGGTGTTGTGCCATTGCCCATACTGTGTCAAAGGGCTTGTTTTTAGCCTAAGTTTCATGCCTCTTTATTGTGGCCAGAATCAGATGCTCAAGAAAAGGACATAAGAAACAGTACATTTAGAGAAATATTTTCCACACACACCTCCCCAGCCTGTGGGTTAGCAATGTCCTTAAGCTAGATCTGTGAGCTATAACCATGGATGGGCCAGTCCTCCGTTTTTTCAGACAGCTGTTATTAAAAGACAATGCTAATAGGAAAACTCACAGGCCTATTAAAAAAAAAAAGTGTTTTTGGAATGCTAAGATAAGGGTAGTTATTCATGTCTTGTAAAACACAGCCTTGCTTGTTTTGCAGTTTTAGAGTGCCAAATCAGTGCACCTTTCAGTACTCTGTCAAAAACCCCTGCTGTTTTTCAAACACTGTAACAACAGTGACTGTCAGAACTATTCCTAACATAGTTATCAAAACGAGAGAGAAACCTAGCCAAACATGAACAATTTTATAATTTTTGAGTGCAACCCACAGACTGCTACAGAACTTGCTGAGTTGCCCCAGTGATGTAGTCATTCCTTTCATTCTTTTTTGATTGAGCCTGTAGGATGTTTACATCCCATGCACCATCTCACATAATATGTGAGTAAAAACTAAGTCATCTTTAATACAAAGTTTTAAAAGTCACAGCACATTTTGTGGCTCACAAACCTCTGAGAATACCTTTGAAAGCGGTCTTAGAGACAGCAGCAGAAGTGTAATTCTTCTTGGTTTCTCACTTTGTTATGACTAGGGACATTTGAAAAAATCCCAGTACCACTGTTCTTTAAAAGCACATCTGCTGCTATAATTGACTCTCCATACAGAGTCTTTAGAAACAGTAATGGCAAATTAACAGACAGTAGTAATCATAGCAGATAAAGTTGTTTTGTATAAACTAAAAGTATCTCGAGGGCAAGTGAAATTAATGTAGTTATACTGCTGAGATCAGCATAAATAAATTAATGTAATGAATAACCATGAAGCAAAAGGAGAGTAACTTTTAAGTAAAATCCTTTTTCTTCTGTACTGATAGGTAGCAACCATAGAAGTAGGGAAATGTGTTCCTTTCCAGAGACTGTAAAATAAAAGTAGTAGACTTTTTCCTTCCTTCAGTGACTACCGTTGCCATATTGATAGAGAACTCATTGGGAAGGTAATGACTAATTGCCAATGTATTTTGTTGACTGCAAGGAGGCTAGAGAAGTAGGAAAGAGAATACAGGGAGAGCTTATCATGAGTAGGCTTTAACTTGTGCATGTCATTGAAGTGTTGCTGGAACTTAAGATGGGATGTGTCTGAGCCTAAGTGCCTAAGAGATTAGAGATGGGAGAAGGGAAAGATAACGCAGCTGGACCTCAGTCAGTCTCTGGTGCATGACCTGTTTGGCAGATGTGGCCCTTATCTTTTCTGCATATGATTTCCATCTGTAAACAAGGTGCTAACGCAGGCTGAAGTCTGGATTATTAGGAGATTTGGGTTTCTATGAGAGTAAATAGTCCATGAATTGTAAGGTTCTCAGTGAAAATCTTGTGAGCACATAGGTCTTTCAAAAGTGTTGAGAGAGGTGTTTATCTTGGAAAAGTGGTATAAAATTGTTACTTCACAATGAAGAAAAAAAAAAGAAAGAAAAAAACAGGATAGTGTAAAATAGTGATGATACAAAATTATTTAACTGTGATGATTTGCTGTCTGATTCTTAAAAATAAAGGTGTGTAATGTTACATAGATGCTCAGCTATGCATACTATGTTCTTCCATATGCATTTTGTGAACCCATTTTGTATAACATAATCATGTTACTCCCCAAAAACAACAACAACAAAAAATCACAGAAAAAGCAGAGCTTTGCCCTTCCCTCATATTTAAATATTCCAAATGCAATTCATGAGTCTTTAATGTGAACATTGCTTTAAGTGAAGGTATCTTCTTACACAAAGTGTGCTCATTTCATACTTTCAAGGAGTGAGATACTGGGTTTAGAGCTAGTGTGCATATGCAGACAGGCAAGGATTTTCACCTCAGTTTTTTCTCATCTTCTCCTTGACACATAAACTTTCATCCTCCTTTTCCACTAGATCTTGCTCTTTACCCTATTTCTTGCAGTAACTGGGTGAAAACGAAACATGCAGAAAGGAGTCTTCTGCTCTCTCTGCTCTGCTCCAATTCAGGCTGAGCAGGACATGCAGTGAGGGGAGGTGCAGCATGTGGAGGTAGCACTCACGCAGTCATGGCAAGGTGGAGGGACCAATAATTGTGTGCAGGAGCACCTGAGAGCTGCAGTGGTACCAGCCGACAAACAGTCTCTCTCTCAAAACATTTCAACAGTTTAACAAGCAGTTGAAGTAGAAGAGAAAAGGGAAGGGCAAACCAAGCAGTCTCGAGGAGGGATAGGCAATGGGACATTCATTGGCAGAGGTTAAGGTTGAGGAAGGCCTGGATCCAGCAGTCAAGTTTCAGGTCATGTGTTTGTCAAGAGAACATCAGATTTCTGACTTATGCCTGAGGATTCCTGAAGTTGAGAATGGACACTCACTTTGTTATTTAAAGTACAGAATTTACCAGAGGAATATTATGTGGCATTCTGTTTTCTACCTGTGGGTGTCTCTGTCTGACTTTTGGTGTAGAGGTTTCTTTATTGAGCTAGTTAAAGCTAACATAAAAAGAGAATAAAAACTACACTTGATGTCTGTTAGGTTTCAGGGAAACTGTGCAGCTTCTCAGCAGTAAGAGTACCTCTTGTTGTTCAACTCGTTAGCTCATCTGCTTCGTCCTTCATAAAACTGGTACATTTCTATTTTTAATTATTTACTGCAGTAGTAAATTATGGACGTTGCCATTTGAGCTGTTATATTGTGACTTGTGTGGCTGATGATGGTTTTTGCAGCTGAGCACCAGTTGGCAGATACCATTTTCTACAATGCTGAGCTCTTAAGTAAGGATTTGCTGACGTGACAGGACAAGTGTTAGGAGATGTCATCATCTGTTAAAATTTATGAGATACATTCTTAGTCCCTGTGAACAGTGTGTATTCTTTGTTCCATTACATTCCAGTTATTCTTGCTGATTTAAGGCTGAATAAGCTGGAGTTTTGTCTACCTCTGAGCATTTATATTTCATGCATTTCTCCCAGGTCATTCCAGAGCTCAAGGATGCCCAGACAAATGCTGTGGCTCAAGATGAAACTGGTAAAAAGAGTGAAAGTCACTTGTGACCTTAGAAAGGGGAGAATGATTTTCAAGTGCAAAAGTCACAACAAATTGACAATTTATCATCACATTAGGACATTTTTGATAGCATTACTAATGCAGAAACTTGTTGGGGAGTACATTAACCATGTACACTTCTCTGGAAAGGGCTCAGAAGTTTTTTATTGCTTACTGTTTGCTTGTCCAGTCATTAAACAGAAAAGTTTTGTCAACATTAGCACCCATGATGATATTCCCAAATTCACTCATAAATATGCTGTTGTCTGCCTATATTAATAGTGTGTCTCTTATGACCTCCAGTTGTCCTGTCCATTCACTCCCTCATTGTCTGAGGCCTCCGAGCCCATTTTCCTACTGCCTTCTAGAGAGTGTGGAACAGAAACTCCCTATGGAGTATGTGATTTTTCCTTCAGAAGCCATCAGATATGGTTATTAAGGAGAGCTGTATTCTCTTCCTCCATTGCCACCCACATGAAGCTCTCCTGGGAACAAGTGTTCCCTCTAAGAGAGTGAGGGCTGAACGTAAATCTGAGATTCCTACATAAAGTATGGAAGTGTCTAACTTAAAAATATTGGTGCTTAACTTAAGCATTTCCACTTTTTCTGGAGGTCAGTGGTGGTGTAAATCTGTTCAGGACAGCCATCCCTTGAAAATCTATTCTTACAATATTATTAGTGTATTTTGCTTGTTTTCTTGCATATTTTCAAGGCTTCACAAATACAAATTCCTGTCACAATTAACCTACCTGACAGTCTTATTTATCTATTTGTTTTCTGAGATTTTATAAGAAAAGTTTGGTATGTTTGTATTACTTTTTCCATTAAATGAAATTATTTTGAATATCTTGGGCTGAAACCTGACCTTCCAAGACAATATTAAATAGTTTTCTTCAACTAATGGACACTGAGCTTTTTGGGGCTTTGTTCCAGTCATTTTCCTGTTGGTCGCAATATTTAAATATTGGTCCTCCCAGGATATTTTTACCTAGTGTCCCAGGAGTCATTTCAGTGGATGGACCACTCTAGTATAGAAGTCCACAGACAGACAGTCTGGCTCCACTTTAGTGCCTTCATACTAACGTAACTAAAATGATTTGTATTTTGGTATACAGAAGTGCTGTAGCTAGTCTTGACTCTTTTGCACGCTAATGATATCTGGCTAAAATCGTGCCTCTGAGGGCCAAAAAGTTGTGCTTCTTTATTCTGCAAATTAACTGGGGAAAACGTCTAGATTTTTCTTATTATTATTGTTTCCTCTTTTGTGCATGCTTGCGCATAGCAGCACAAAATACCACTTTGGCAGAAGCTCAGTCTTCCTTTTATTCAGTTTCTCAAACCTGTATCAGCTGCACACATTTCTTACTTTCTTTTCAACACTCAGTTCTTTGTGCCACTTGAGTCAGTCTGCAACTTCCGTTTCAGGTGGAAAGATAGTAAAACGATGATTGGGATGTTCCTCCACATTGTGCAGCATTATAAAACCACAAAACCCTGACAAATCTGCTTTGTCTGTCTACTTTTATATGTGAAGGAATGAACTTAACATGGCAAGAGCTGGATTGTGATGTTTAATTCTTGTTAAACAGTTGCAGTGCAAGTTTTGGCCAAGTTATTAAAGGAAGAATTGTTCACGTCTTGAGAATTCAATTCCAATGACTCTTCTTAGCAGAAGTTGTTATGGGGAGATCCCAGACTGATTTCATGCTAAGCTGAAATGAATTCTTCTGCTTCATTTTATTTTACGTATAGTACCTAGCAATATCCTACTCATGCCTTTGTTAAAACAGGAACATAGGAAATCTCATTTTAACAGTAATAAAGTCAGGCATAGTTGGTTACAAAAATAGTACTAATAAGAAAATCATAAAAGCTTTGTCACATTTACGTCTTTCAACTATACTAGGCAAGGCAGGAAATTGTGATACATAGCTGGTAGTTTCTGTAAAAATAAATTGGATTATAATGGAATATGTTATAGCAAATTTCCGCATTTAAGTTTGCTTCTACCCAGGAAGGGGGAAAAAAGAGGCTGAGAATCAAAAGTCTGAGATTCCAGTCTTGGAAGCACTCCAGTGCATAACGTAACTCACATAAATAATAATGAGTTACCACCTGTGCATAAAGTTATGCACATGCCTTAGTGTTCGTAGCATTGAGGTAAAGCAGCATATTGCAAATACTCTTTATTATATTGTATTTAGGAAGAAAACCTTATAATTTACTGTGAACAGAAAAAATGTTAGAGAAAGGAGAGAGAAACACATGTTTATATGTGATGACATTTTGATAAAAGCATTATGGCTTGAAGAATCTCATGAGTCCAGAGTATTTTGATGATTTGTGGTCGAAGTATCTTACATGAGTTCTGCAAATCTGTTAACGTGCGTTCCTTAATCATCCTCTTGGAAAACTGACCTTTGCACTTGCTGCTGCCTTCAGCCACGTGACTTTCAGAGCCAGTGAACACGACTGCAGAAGACATAGAGGATGAAGTTATGTTACTGAGCACTGCGTTTGGTTTTTACTTCTGAAAGGTAGTCTAGACCAGGTCAAGGGTCAACATAAAAATATTTCCTTTCACTGACAGAGGACTGGGTCTAACTTTGGATCATTACAATTTCTTGTACACTGTTCTCCCTTCAAGTCTGACTTTTTCATGAGCAAGGGTCAAAATAGTCTACGTTTCAGAATTTACCGCTAGTTCTTAAGTGCTTGAGGGCAGAAGCCATCTTTTATTCTGTCATTGTGAAGCCCTGGAGTAGCAGATGTCTGATCCTGATTGGGAAGCCTTTGATCGTAGTACTAACAAATGATCATTTGAGGTTTTGTGTGATTTTATTGCCAGATGCTGGTAAACTTTTAGATTTTTAATCTCAAGGTATGTAACAAAGGATTTCTGAAAACTTGCTAGTGTCAATCAGAGTTAAAACGATTAAATAAAGATTATTTTTTTCTTTATTTTAATAAGAAAAGGATCACATCTATTTAAAAAGTCCATTGCAGTACATTAAGGTAAAAAAGTTAACCCCACCATCTCAGGCAGATGATTATGGCAACGGTAATACTAGTTACCAGGTTGCAGCTAAGCATCAGGAACTGTCCATGTGCATTCTTATTCTAAAACAAATGTAGGATAATGCAGATTGGCTTAACATCTTTCCTAGCAAGCCTAGCAAAGTTACAATTAATTATCTCATATTTACAGTACATTGTACTCTCTCAGACATGCTGTCATTGCAGATCTGTAGATTTGTGGTATCATGCTGAGGTACAGTCATTTGATAATATGAAAGCTGACCTATGGACAGATGCAACATTTTGAATTAACCTCATCCAGGGACAGGAATCCTGTATTTCATGAGAAATGAGGGGATGATCTGTAGCAAACAAACAAACTTACATATGGTTTGCCATTCCTGTGGACCACCTACGGATTTGTGCCATAGATGATAGGCATGCTGAAGATCTGTTAGAAGAACACTTACAGGCACTTTGTTGAATGAATACCTGCAATAAAATTGTAAAGTAGAGCCTGGATATTCATCAGTGAGTGCCTGCATGGAAGAAGGGTAGATATTGACACAGAGAAGGACCAAGTGCACCGTTTGAGGATACATACTGGAACAGCAGAAACTGTGGGAAATAAGTGATATAGGCCTAAGCGTAAACAAGGCAGTGATGATTTATCTGAAGTGAAGCTCCATTTGGGGAAGGTTCAGACTACCTTTAGTATTTTTGTAAAGCAGAGACATTAGAAATTGAAAATTACACACACCTTCCTGTCAAGAGTGTAGGATAATTGCTTACAAAGTAATCGTTTGGTAGAGATGACTACCTTTCCTAGTTCAGTTTATCATGACCTTGGCAAGGACTTCCGTGTGCCCAAAAGTTGCAAAAAAAAAGCCAAGAGATCAGAGGAATTGTGCGGTGGACTGGGTGTCACATGGAGTAATTTTGTTCCTACATCTGCTACTGGTTCAGTGCATTGGGTCAGAAAAATTAGTTACCCCTCCATGACTCAGCTTTTTTCTGCCCACAAACTGACAGGCAAGATAGTTATATATTTTTATAAAAGGCTCAGGGATGAAAAATGCTTATAACAATAAATACTGGTTTTCTTACATATATCTTTTGTAAGAATGCAGGTTTACATATGGCCACTGCATTTTTCCCTGTCAGTTTAGCCAGGTTACAAACGCCTTGACTTTCCAAAAACTTGGTGTTTCAACATCCCCGTTTCCCCTCAGCAGTCGCTTCTGGTAGCATTATATTAAGGTAGCTTAATACTGAAAGGATTTTAGAGAATTTTCCCGCAGTGTTAATTTTTCAAAGCACTTTGTATACAGCAGTTTTAAAAGTAATTCTGATGTAACTTGAAGGTGTTTAAATAGTTAACCTTGCTTTCTGTTTTTTAAGGATCCACCAATGGCAGTGACCCTTGGACTGCGAATGGAAGAGATGATTTTTAATCTTGCTGACACACATTTATTTTTTAATGATTTAGAGGTAAGACTTGAACATAAGCGATGTTATGCCTGGGTTTTTAACATAGTGGTTTTGCTGTGCATTAGTGTGTGTTGGGTATGACATTTCCTGCCTATCTAGGCTTTGGGTCTGTCGTACTCTAATCAGAGAGAGTTTAGTCAGGTGGCAGTGACTTCCTGTGGCACCAGAGTCCTTCCATGAAACTGGGTGAGAGAGAAAATCTGAAAACTACCTTTACTCTCTTCATCCTATGGACATCTTTTCAGTTTCCATGCTGTCTGCCGTCCTTCGATGTTGCGAGGGATGAAATAACGGACTTCACGCCATGATCAATATGATCGATGTGAGCCCATTTATTGCGAAATTACATGCCCTTTTTATACATTTGTTAAATGCTTAGCACATATGTCATCGATTATGATTGGTTCCTAGCTGATATTATTTGTTAACAAATGTAGCATCTTTATTGAAAGCAAGCTCTGTTCATTGGTAGAGGAAAGCTCGGTTTGTGTAACTTTTTATTAAAGGCAATCTTTGCATACGCAGCATCTTGCTAAAGACAAGCTTTATATGTGTAACAACTCTACTGTAAGCAGGCCTTGTATATGTAGCAACCTTGCTGTAAGCAAGCTTTGTTCACATAGCAACTTGCAGTTTCTACTTGGTCAGGTGCAGCAGTTTCGTGAGCTCGGGAGTGTTTACAGTTCCTCCTTCCCAAGGCCTTCAGGCCTTCTTGCTGTAACGTTTTTTCTTCTTTATGCATTGTTCATTCTTTCCCAGGGCCTGCTTGCTTGTAGGCCAAAGCCAGAGTTTCTCAGGCTCAGGGATTCTCTACATGACCATAATCCTGCAGAAAATCCTCAAAAATTTCCAAGAGCAGGACATATGTGCCTCCCATTCTTTCACTAGAAGTTCTCTATATAGGCTTTCAGAGGGTGCCATCACCTGACCACGAGAGATGGCGTTCTTTTCTTCACATGCCTGAGTAACCTTTTGGCCCCATGCCCCCGCTTTCTTACTCAAAGACAGAGTATTCTTCCTTTACCTCAAAGACTGCAGCATCAGAGAGCTGGGACTATGGTAGATGTACTCATCAGTGATGTCTCCTCTCGAGGTAACCAGGCAACCACGTGTTTTGTCAGATATGCCCAGGGTGCGCAGTTTGGCATCAGATCAGAAAAGGGAGAGACCTTTTCCTAGGGAGTAATGGCTCTGGATCGCTCACCTGTCAGAAGCTCACAGATGGACTGCTGTAGGGACAGTTGTCTGGGAAGCAGGCCCATCACCTGGGCTTCACAGACTTCTTGTTTCACTCCCGAAGTCTGGATCTGTTAACATGGAAAGTGACAGTCTTACAGCTATGTATGTCAAGACATGGGGTGAAAAATGGTTCTCAAATTAAACTATGGGCTTTTCAGACCTTCCCCTGGTCTAAATCAGTTGTTTTCTTACTCGGAGTGGATGCCAGGGTTCCCTCCATGGACAGATATTTTGCCACTAATGGCAGTTGGAAGACTTTGAGGTTTTGTTTAAAATGCCAGAGAAAGGTCTCTGGTGAGTGAATAGAAAAAATGAGGATAAGGAAGTTTTTTCCATTTGCTGGGAAGCTGATTTTTCTAGCATGCACTTTTTTTGTTCCTTCATCGACTGCAGGCAGTAAGAAAAGCAGAAGGTACCAGACTGTGGTTGTCTTTGTCATCCCTTGCAGATCTCCTTTATTCTTAGTTCTTTTTAAGTCAAGAAACTGTGACCTACTTCGCCCTATACCTGAGCTGCACTTCCTCCACCCAGCAGCAGAAACATAAGAACATAAAGCCCTGGGCATGCCTTTGCCAGTCGGTGTTTTATTGCTGTCCTAACGAGTCATCACTTGACAATTCAAGTGCATACGGTGAATGTTCTCCTTCTGTTGCCCCGTACCATATTCCAAGTAAATTTTTCACAGCATTGCTTAAATTTCTTTTTAGCAGACCTTTGCCCCTGCGTGTTCAGATTTCATGTGGCACTGCATGAACTTTAAGCTGTTCGGTAGCCTATGCCCAGATTTCTTCAATCTTGTGCTGAGTTCAGGTTGAAGAGTTCAGCAAAACAGAGCTTTGCCTCCTTTCCATATATCTTTATTCTTGCTTATGGCCATTGAAGCTTCATTGTTTTCTCTCATTATTTATTTTCTTTGTAGATCTCCGGTTCAGCTGTCATAGGTGGATCATAACATTTTGTATATTCTTCATAGGGTGGTTTTAATATCCTGTACAAAAATTCATACTCCAGCTCATTCCAGAGCTTGAACAGTATCCAAACAGTTCTCAGTTTTAGATAAATCAAAAAATACTACTTTGGGACTCTCTTGGAGAATCTCATAACTCAATCAGTTTGATTTGATTAAAACCAATTTCTATATGCAACAAAGTATTTTCTAGCCCAGAATTCATCTTTGTTTCAAAACCAACTCTCTTACAAAATTACCAAAATTCCAAACTACTTCTTCTGAAATGAGCTGTATGCACACATTCTGGCATATGCAAGAAGACCAACAATTTTCTGTCTTCTTAGCAAATTAGGTATAATTGCATGTCATCCTGTGCCAAAGTACATAGAGGCATCCTTTAATATGTAGATGAATAAATCTGTCTATTTAAATGTTTGCAGAGCACATGGCCATTACTGAATACTACAGTGCAGCTGCATGATAAATGTGTAATAAATTCTGAGAATTCCCCAATTCTGACTTGGGGTCTCTCTCATCTCTTCCCCTCTCCATCGCTCTTTCTCTGTCTTCCTCTCTCCATCCTCCCCCAGGAGAGGGGAGGCGAGTGCTGAGCTGTTAATGGTCACAGTCATCAAGATACAAGACCTTCAGTTCTTACTGGAGGAAGTGAGGTAGGCTTTTACTCACTAGACAGATTACTTAGCCTTTCATCATCTCACTTTTTTTAATGCTGAGCCATCAGGTCCTATACCTACTCTCTTGCTTTCATCTTCATCCCATAATAAACCTTGTGGCTCTGGACATGACAACTGCAATATACAAATGAACCTGTATTCCTGTAATATTGACTCCAGTCACTGTGTGCTTTAAGCTCTCTTTTTTTTCCCTGTCTTGGTTGCAAACACTGCATACCAGAGTCTAGTAATAATAACCAGGTTATTGAGAGTTATCACATAAAAAAATAAAGTTTTCCTTCCGCTATGCAAATCTGTCTCACTACAATGACTGCTGATGCAGAAATTCCAATCTGCTTAGACGTTCCCTGCTGACCCAGTAACCCATGTTCTAATCAGCCAAGCTGCACTTTTATTTCAGGCTAGGCTGTTCTCCAGCTATTTCATTCTCAGTGTATAAATTTTAGTTAGCTTGAGAAGTATCGCTTGGGAGGGCAGTTGGTGTTTTGCCATGAAAATAGGAGTCTGGTGCTCCAGGAAGTTCATGTGCCTAAACGATGCTTAGAGATGGGACTCGGTTCTGTAATATTGTCCAGACTAATACATTCTGTTCTCAACCAGGTAAAGAATAACATGAAGTTTTTCTTCCTATCTCAGTATTAATTTTAAGACAACATTTAGGAATGTTGGTAGGGCATACTATGCATGTAAAAAATCCAATTTCTACTGCAAGCAGGAAGTTGGATATGAATCTTCCAACTCCATTACCCCCCTCCACTCTGAGGGGGATAACAAAACCAAACTGAGTTATATTTCCATTTTTATGATAATCCTATCTATTTTAAATAAGATTTTGTGTCTTTTTTCCTCTCATTAGAAATGGAAATGAGAAATAAAAATTAGGATTTAGATAGTGAATTTGGGAGACAGGTCAAACTAGTTTTAACAGACTGAAGCATATACGTAAAAGGGGGGGTTCTGTATAGCCTGAAAAACCATAGTGCTGAATATCCCCTCAGTAATAACACTTCTGTGTTCAGTGTGGTGAGTCAGTGTTTTTACTGGATAATGAAATTACTATCCATTCCAGGAGGATAATTTTTATGGATGATTTGTTGATTCTGTACTCTCAAATTTTCAGGCTTTAAAAATTGCTGCAAAAAAATGACTGCACTCAGATACAATTTAAATTAGTATTGCTTCAAGCAAATGCCAGTTATTTTACCTAGATTCCCTTCCTGTATTCTCAGCAATAGGCAATATATTGTACCTTTCTTTGTTTTGACCTTGCTCTGCCAGTGAGCCACTGTGACTTGAGTGTAGCCAGTCCCTTTTATAAGCAAACTCAGATCTGGTGTTGTGCCACCAGTTTCCTGTTTCTTTGGGAAAAAGTAGACAACTATCTCAAATCTGCTCGAACCGTTCGCCTTCTCTTTTTTCCCAGAAAGTTTTTTCTCACCGTATAAGCAGATTTGTGGAATGTAATCATTTGAGTTGAAGTAGATAAGTAAATGAGAAGACAAAGCAAAATGAAGCAAGGAGTGGTGGGCACATGAGTTTGTTGTTGGCCAGCCAATGTGTATTGCCAATATGGTAAGAAGGTGAGCCATCTGTCTTAGGGGAGAAGAGGAAGGAGGAAAAGGAGAAGCCTGGAGAGTGTTGTTGGGTTTGATCCTCTTAAGCTTCCAGCGACGTAAGAACTCTCTTGCAGGGAGAAGGGGCAAGTAACCAGCAAACTGCGTGTTCCCCTCATCTCCTGTTCCTGGAGTCAATGGACAAACTGTGAGATAAAAAAATAAATATGTAAACAGATGAGGCTTTGCCACCCACTCGTATTTAACTTAATAATTAAATCATCAGCAGAACAGTTATCTGGAATTTTCAAGGCTGGAACAATGTAACTGAAAGGCTTAACAAAACCCTGACAGCCACAGACACTGTTGGTTATCCATCAGGGCTTCTGTGCGCCCTCCATTTAATTAGTGCACCTTCAAATCCACAGGACTAATTTTCAAACTTACAAAATTATATTACACCTTGACCAGTTCAGGGAAATCTTTGAAGGTCATTAGAAAACCAGACACTACAAAATACAGTTAGAATTTGTCTCAGTATGGCTTTTTGTCTGAGTTTTGTGTTCCTGTCCTACACTGGGTATAGTCACTTGTTTTTCTGGACTATAAACAATAAATAAGGATCTTATCCTTATTTATTAAGGCGAATCTTTTGTTTCAGCTGCAATTTCCCCTTTCTTTCTCTTATAATCTGCTAGTTATATCCAGAAACAGTTTTTTTTAAAATATTCTACAGCTCAACATAATGTCCTCAGACAGAACCAAAAAATTTTATTTCTCCAGTGGGGAGAAGAATGCTTCATTTAAGTTCCTTGAATGCAGTTTTTTCATGGCTGTCTTAATGGATTAAGCCAGAGGAGTAGAGTTTGGCCACTCATTCTTTTAGTCTTGACAGAAAATTTTAACTTATGATTGCTTGTATGATGCAATGAAATTATGTATTAGAAAAGTAGATTATATGTATTTATTTTATAAAAGATTGCTAATTTATTTTTTAACATCTTATTCCATGTGGGTAAAAACCTTTTAAGTTGTAATTCAGTGCAAAGCAAACAAAGCAGAAAGAAGAAATGGCAACTCTGCAAATTCACACTGTAGGAACTTGTGACATACCTATGTGGAAATCACTCCCCTGTTCAGATTTATCCTTTATCTGGACAATTTAGCACTGGTACGAGACTGCAATTGGAAAATTAGAACTGTGTACTCCTGCATGTCACAGAGAGTCTGAATTAAGTGCTGCTTGTTGGCAACTTTATTTGAAGTAGGTGACTCAGCTCCTTATTTGAGGCACATAACTGTGCATTTTGAAAGCTCAGCCTCATTTTGTCATAGCGATGAGATTAAATTATCTGAAAACATTAGTTGCAGAGTGATTTTTAAATGCATCCTTGAACTTTTTCAGAAATTATATTAGGATTATGTTAACAACAGCTATTTCAAATATAAAAAAAAATTACTTACAGGAAAGTAAACTCCCTGGACACTGAATTTCAGGTGTGTCTTTAGCTTAAGACATTAATTCTAGCAACTACAGAAAACAGTAATACGATGCCTGTCCATATTTACTGTTGCATGGTGGCTCAAATTATTTATTTATTTGTGCTTCCCCCATATTTTCCTGTCTTCCTGCTGTAACCGCTGTACAGAAAAAGATATTTGATAGCTATTCGATTATAAAACCAGCTTGGAGAGGAGTTCAGTTTTCCAATGTACCTCAGTTCCCTGGAGTTACTTCCACCTCTTTTGAAACCAGAAAATAATGAAGTTTTCCAGGACTACTTGATTATCTGTGATTTTCCAGCCAAAGGCATTTGGATAAATCAAAAAAATAATCTGATAAGCATCCAAATTCCTAGAGACTTAACAGAATTGCATGCCAATGGAGGTTCATCATCATTAGCTTTCAGGAAGTGGGGAAATAAGGTTTAGGTGATTTTGGAACATTGGTATGCTAGAGGGACTATAAATGTGACTTGTAATTTTGGGAGGTTTTTTTCAATTAAAAATATTTTACTCTAACATCAACGAAAATTACATATCACTTTTCTAAAGGCCTGTTTTAACTAATAATTTATACACTGTAGGAGGAGTTGAAGGTTGTAGTATTTTAAAGAAATTGGTAATAGGAAGCTCTAAGCGTGCATATGCTGCCATCTTCTGGTGAACGTAGTGGCTTGCACCGATCATTTCTTCAACGCCTGTACTAGGCACATGGAGAGCATATAATTTATAGTTTTGGGTTTGTTTTTTTTTTTTTTTTCTCAAACAGGAGTGTGATCAAGTTCATATAGATGATGTTTCTTCTGATGATAATGGACAAGACCTAAGGTAAGCTAGAGCTTTTGTTTGGTTTTTTTCTTCAAAGATTAAATAACGAGCATTTACAGGAATACATTGTATTTATTTTTACTGTATTTTGGGTGTTTGCAGTACCTACAGTTTTGCAACTGATGGCTTCCATGCAGCTGCAAGTAGTGCAAACCTTTGTCTGCCAACAGGTGTAAGAGGAGGGGTTGACTGGATGAGGAAGCTGGCTTTCCGTTACAGAAGAGTAAAAGAGTTGTATAATACTTACAAGAACAACATAGGAGGTGAGTTTAATTGTCAAAGCTGATGTAGAATGCTGATCAGGTTAAACTGCGTGGCGATGAATTCCTGCCAAGAGAATGTGCCTTGGAAGCCATAGGGTGAATGGAAAATGATGTGACTGGACCTTGGGCTACTGAAAGCTACAGATTGTGATGGCAGAGCCAACAATGTGCTGTTGTGCAGGAAAACCAGAGATAGGGAGACTGAGTAGATTTCCATTTAGCTTCCACAAAGCCCATTTTTCTCCTTCAGACCCAGCTCGGCTATACCTACGTTACTGGACGGTTGAGCCACCTATTCTACCTCAAATATGCTGTTACTCTACAAAAGAAGTTGTCTAGTTTCCACAGCACAAATTGGTTGTAGCTGGCCTATTCTATCCTACATTTTTATGATCTAGTGGATACCAACACACTGGCTGCTGAATTCTCTGCTGGGTACCTGCTGGTCTGTTTTCACCAGCGGATGCAAGAAAACTCTAGCAGTGCCATACCACTAGTCCCTTTTGTTGACACTGTAGCTTACACAGTTACCTGTGTTGCAAGACATCCAGGTGCCATTTGGGCTGAGAGCTTTCCTGTCACTGTCATGGACGCAGTCGTGTCCATGCCAGCAGGCTTGTAGGAAATCAAACAGCAGAACTGAAAGAATCTGTCTTTGAGAGTCCTGTGTGACATGCAGAGGCAGGCAACCCTTCTCTGAGGAAGGAATATGTCAACCGACTCCCTCAAGAAGAGCCCGCGAGAACAGAGAATACTTGGAAGCATTGCTACAGCTGCAGTTGAGGATGAGGACAACCCTACTAGGAAGGAGTCCAAGTGCACACTCTCCCATTCTATAGCATGGGCTTTTTCAACTTATCTGAAATTTATTTCAAAGGAACCTTAAACTCAAAGTTCACTTTCAACAAAACCAAACAGTTTGGTGTTCACTTCCTGCAGTCTCTCAGAAATGGGAAACAGTACTACTAATATGGACAGTGAATTAGTTGTTACCTTAATCATTTTCTAAACTATGTAAACCTGAAATCCATCTTTTCTCTTACAAGCTCAAACTCTCAAGTTGCTGCAGGATGAAGCAATGGGAGCAAAGGATGACCATAAATGACTGGCTTTCACTTGTCCTGCCTTGCCCTTCACTGTTGTCATGAGTGGAGTTTTTAAATATTAAGAATACTTGAAACAGTATTGTCCAAACTTTTACTGGGTTTTCCTATATCTTCTAATTCTTCTAAAACTCTAAAGCTGTTGCATTTTATAAAACCTTGAACATTAATAAATCCAAGAGCACAGCATAGGGAGACACAAAAGAGGAACAATCATTGCAAAGGCAGAGTGCAGATATGTGGTAAAATTGTTAAGGTTTTTATTCTCTCCCACAAATCCTGCTTCTGAAATATATTCCATCCTTAGTGGGGAAGTTCCTTCATTCATCCTCCAGTTCTTAGCTTTTTAAATAATCTTTTTCTCACATACGTATCTATTTATTTCAAAATAGATGTTAGAAGGCAACAGAAGGCTAGATCAATCTAGGTATTTTTAGGTTGCTTCATTTCAGATTTTTGAAGACAGTTATCACCGCTTCTTGAGAATATAGTATGTGAAAGAGAAAAGGGATACTAAAGGTCTTGAAGCCTGCTTCCCTGTTCTTCCAGGACCAATTCTAAATTTAAAATAGCTTGGTTCTGTAGAACTCATGTCTCAACATTCAGTAGGCTGGGTATTTTTTTAAACCTGACCATTCATACCCAAAAGCAGATTTTAAGGTACTTTAAAGGACTGAAATATAGAACATAGGATGTACAGCCATTTCAGGCCTGTAAATGGAGCTACCATTACTGACTACTAAAAAGGAGCTATCATTACTTACAGCAACAGGACATGAAGAGCAAGCCATCAGCAAACGAATGTTTTTCCATATGTAAGCTGATGTTCACCTATATACAGAGTCACAAGCAGGGCTGTTTTAAACATAAGCAGATATGGCAAAGGCAAGTTTATTCTAAAGTATCTTCTTTTGTGAGTGTCTCTGCCTATGATCGCAATGGCATGGATCCCCTTGTCGCTGTCTGTAGTAATTAGAGAGTAGGATAATGTGAGGAGTTGGTGCAAAAAATATGTATTTCTGAAAGCTACACTTTGAAAGAAATAGCAGACTGAATAGGTGAAAGAAAAATCAGACAACTAATTGTTAGTACCTGCAATACTCTCTGACATTGCTTGATATAATGGAGTGCAAATAAGAACAGAGAGCAATTTACTGAACCTTGAAGACAATAGATTTTCTCTGATGTTTTTTGAAGTTCTAGTGGAATTTAAAATTGAAACTATGACCATAAAATCTATACATTACAGCTGATACAGAATTTAATTTGTTTTCTTTTCTTGCTTTTTTTACATAAAAGGACTCCTGGGTCCCGCTAAAAGAGATGCATGGTTGCAATTAAGAGCAGAGATTGAAGCTCTGACAGACTCCTGGCTAACAAATGCACTTAAATCATTATCAATTATCAGCACAAGGTATGTATGTGAGTCTACTGTAAAAAAGTTTATCATTTTGTACTTCTAATGGGTATTTTTTAAAATTTTAGGTTACAGTGTTAGGGCCTTTAAAAAACATAAGAGGTCTTACACAACTTTTGAATAGGACATAGGAAAAATTTCATGGGAAGTGTTTTCATTTTCTGTGATTCCATACTAAAGATAGTATGAAGTGTCTTCTAAAATGTGATAAATGTCCCTGTGTACATTGGAAGACTATGGTAAAATTCTGAGCCAGCCTTTAATTTATTATCTTTGGGGGAGCATCCTCTGAACTCCACATCTCTCTGTGCTTATTCATAGTGCTATCTAAATACTGTATAGATTGCAGAACAAAAAATAATTTTCCTTCTGTCCTTCCAGACAAATCGCTATGCTTAAATATATAAATTTTCAGAAGAGCAAAAATCTGTTTAAACTGAGTTAAAAGTCTGACTTCCTAGCAATGAGACATGAAATGTTTTGTTCCTTTGAAATAATAGAACTGTGAACGCTGCTGCTGCTTAGTCAGCCATGCAATATGTATCTCATCAGAAATCCTCAAAAATTCTGGTTTGAAACCATAGAAAGGAACAATGTTAAGCCATCATGCCTGGATGATGGAAAGATGTGAAAAAAACTTGGAAAGATGTGAAAAACTTATTTGTAATGTAACAATTTTTGCAATATGTTTATCTCTCAATTGTAGTTTATTTAACAGTGTCTTAAGCACCTCAAGACAAAAAAAGTGTGTAAGCAGTTGTGTTTAGCTCTGCATTTCTTTCCGTATTGCTAGTCTTCAAAAAGACATTTGGTAACAAAGGCCAGTTGAGCATTGGTGGATGTTTCTGGAAAACTCTTATCAGCTACTGAAGGCTGTTAAATAATAGTCTCTTGTCCTCAAAGAACTGAACAGCTGTAAATCTTAAGAAGCTACCCATGAGGCAGCTAAACTTTACCTATATATTACCGATAGGAAATTGAGGTACATAAAGGCAGAAATAGTAGCCTAAGGTCTTGCATGGAGTTTGTGGAAGAACCAGGAGGAAAAAATCTCACCTATTTGCTCTCAGCTCAGTGGTCACACTCATGTTCCAGCCTGTCAGTGCCTAAAGTAGCCTGACTCTGAGTTTTCTGTTGTCTATCTGGTAGCACATTTCCATCCTAGTTTTCATCCTCACCATTCGTTACTAGCTTATTAAATGATGATTTTTATCTCTCCCACTTCTCAGAAATATTCTTACTCTTAAAACATGAAGAAAATGGTGTCATTGTACAGAAATGTGTATTGGCTGTTTATTTCCCCTCAAGACAGGAGTAACAAATTATGTTTTTGCATTCTCCTAATTCTCTATTTGGCTAGTAGCTACTGCCAATTAATTACCAGCATGAAAATGATGCTTTCAAAGCATTTGAAAGCCTATTTTCAGAGGTAGTTGCTGAACTTAATGTCCGTATTTTAGTGGACCCATCTTCAAGGACCTGTTTTTCACAAACCATTGTGGAATATTTACTACAAATATTTTTTAAAGGATTTTGCCAGAAGTTTTATATAATTTTTCTGGAAGTGATCATGCTGAGCATCACTATAGTGTGAGTGAAAGTACATGTTGAGGAATCCTGAATATGCACTCCACACCTGGCTCACCTCATCAGCATTTAAGTAATGGTTTTAAACTATTTAAACTGAAACTATTTCTCTCATTTTAGGAGTAACTGTGTAAATGTGTTGGTAACAACAACCCAGCTTATCCCAGCACTTGCAAAAGTCCTGCTATACAGCTTAGGAGGAGCTTTTCCTATTGAAAATATTTACAGTGCAACCAAAATAGGTAAGAAAATTATTCTTTCATCCATTCCAAGTACACTGCTTTACCAATATTTTTTGCCAGTGATGAATGGAATCCAATGAATGGGTTCCAAGCCACTTCCCTGGCACTTACAGCGTCAGTTATAAGATTTTGGCATTGCTTGTGTTCAGATGTGTTTATGTTGATAACGTCCAAATTCAGCTTATATTCAGTGATGTCTGAAGGAATAAAGGTCCCCATACTGATCAAAAGCCTCAGAAACTCCTAAGGATGATACAGAAAACAAAAAAATGTGCAGAAAAGAATGAAGAAAAGTATTTTTTGAATTCAAATCTAAGCAGAACTTCTGTTAAAATAATCTCTGCTCTGACCCTCGGCTTGATATAAGCTAGGCCACAGCTTCACAAGATTTTTCTGGAAGCATAGTACATCAGTGATGGTAATGACAACTGTTACCAACAGAAGCTGTGTTGATGGATGCCACAAGGGCACTTCCCTATTCTGTTGATAAATGTGTACCTCTTGTGTATTACAGTTTGTAAATTTATGGGTTTTGGAAATCGCATCCAAAATTTTCTTGTAAACTAAGAACAGTTATCATTCCTGGGAAATGTGACACAGCCTACAATGACTGATAATTTTGGCAGATTTCATGATTTGCCAATTATTAATTCAGGAATGCTTAATCTTTATACCTATGACACTTTATATAACACGGGGTGTGACACTTCATTGACAAAAGCATTACAACATATTTCCTAAATTGTCTTCACGAGTGAAAAAAAAAATGTATATTCTAACAATGTCAGGAAAACCTATTACCTCCGTCATCCTTTAATTAGCTGTAACTGTCCTCTAGACAGAAATGCCTCAGATATTTTAAAAACTTAAGTCAAGGCATGAAGTATCCCAAATATGACATGTACTGAGCAGCCCCTGGAATGAATGTCATCTGTCATACAGCCCATACATGTTGGATTCAGTCAATGAGAGATTGCACTTGGACCAAAGGAAAGAAGCATTAAGAAATAGTGCTGACAGCACTGAAGGGGTGGTGGAGTGAAGCACAGTCTCTGGAGGCTCGGTCGAAGTAATTCTGCACCAGGAATTCCTTCTGGGAGCTATGTGGCCGAAGTTACACCCCTGTTGGGAGCACAGAAAACTCTGTTGGGTACAAGATCTCTATTTTTCATCTCAGTGATCACTGTGCCAAGCACAGGACTATAACTGCAGCTGTTGCTTGCACACACTGAGATCTAGTCCTCATTCAACACACAATGCTTTTCCTAATCATAAGTCTTTCTTTGTGGGGCAACTGAAAAAAACAGCAAGAGGTGAGCAGTAAGAATCAGAGACCTAGAAATTATGAGCTTGTGAGAAGAGACTAAAAAACCCAGTGCGAGGATAGACATAATAAGGAAAGAAATAATCTTTCTTTACGTCGGTGGAAAGTATGAAAATAGGTGATGATTTCTTTGCAATAGGCACATGTAGGCCACATGTCAAAAAGAAATTTCCTAATGGAAAGGGTTAATTAAATATGGAGATTGCCCGTGGTAACAATGAAATCATCATATTAGGACAATTTTAGGACTGGAACAGGTTGCCCAGAGAAGCTGTGGATGCCCCATCCCTGGAAGTGTTCAAGGCCAGGCTGGATGAGGCTTTGAGCAACCTGGTCTAGTGGAAGGTGTCCCTGCCCATGGCAGGGGGGTTGGAACTAGATGGTCTTTAAGGTCCCTTCCAACTTAAACCATTCTGTGATTGTATGATTCGCACAGGCATTTGTTGGTAAAACTGAACTGCAGTTTAATGAGAAGATCAGTAGACGACTTTGCTTGGTCCCTTTCAATCCTGTTTATTGTTACCAGCTTGGCCTGCTTGCTTCCATATTTCTCCACAAGGGCCAGATGCTTCATGGAAGTTCTCCCAGGAACTAATTTTATTTTGCTTTTCCATTTTCTCTGAATACTTTTTCCATTGCAATATAACTTAGTGTTGCAGATATATTAGAGCTACAATTTATGCTTTACTTGGAAAAAGTATTACTACAGTAATAGGGGAATACTTAAATTCAATTATTCATTCACTAGGCTATTCATTTCTGCAGTGCTGCTAATTCCTTTATCTTAGCAGCTTTCCTGTAACTCTTAAGAAAGAGATTTAGTCTTACCTGGAACAGCTTAGTGTCACTAAGGAAATTAATTGCTTCTTAACGGTTTTGGCTCTAAATCCCAAGGCTGTAAACTTTTAAAAAGTAGTAGTAACAATGTCTTACCACTGCCATAATCCTTTGTAGGGTTTCACCATAACTCACTTGACAGCTTGAATAAGTAGTGCATTGTTTTTCAGGCAAAGAGAGCTGTTTTGAGCGTATAGTGTCCAGATTTGGCACTAACATAACTTATGTTGTGATTGGAGATGGCCGAGATGAGGAACATGCAGCTAATCAGGTAACTTCACTCTGAACTCTTATCTCATTTATCTTCCAGGCAAAGAAAGTTGCTTTGAACGAATAATGCAAAGGTTTGGCAGAAAAGTAGTATATGTTGTAATTGGGGATGGTGTAGAAGAAGAACAGGCAGCAAAAAAGGTAACCTGTCTCCTGCAATGTTGGTGTGATACATAGCTACTAATGCAAGCCCTCCTGTTTGCATTTCTGTCAGTGCTGCACAATGACAGAATGACAAATAATTTCAGTCCACAGATGCAAGGCAACAAGAGCATGATAAGCAAAACTTAGAGTGAAATGAACCATTTGGATTCTAGCATTTGCTCTACTTCCATTTGGAAAGGAAAAAAATGCAAAATTATTTTTAAAATAAATGAAAAATGATGGCAGCAAAAGTGTCTGACTGGCTTGTAGCAAATTAAAGATAAACAGAAGAGACAGACAGGGCTATGACATGATGGTTGGTTAGTTGGGTGGTGGTTTTCTTTAAGTGGTGAAATCAGGGGGGTTTCAAGAAAAGCATTAAAGAGAATGTCAAAAAGCATCTAAAGGACTGTGCAAATTTTTTGCTAACATAGATGAAGATCTGTAGTTTACTGGAGCAAATATGAAGAGCATATAATTTTCTTCAAGAAAGACATATCTGCAAAAAGAAAAGGAGCACATCATAGATATTGTGCACCAAATCTGTGTTTCTGAAAAAGAACAGAGTTTTTAGAAACATTCAATTTTCTCATGATAATAATTCAAGTCTAAATTTCACCACATAAGTTTTCAATGTTCAGAAACAGATCAAATTAATAATTTGCCCCATCGTTCCCCGTATAACCTCGGAAGCGTGCAGAAACTGTAAATTTTTTGTTTCATGATGTCTGAACAGGACAAGTGATGTAAATATTGCTGTGCTAGGAGTAGCAAAATAAAGTTTCCTTTTAGTATTGTAGTTAGAATGGAAACAAAATGAAAATAACCAAAATGCTCATTCCAAATGGTTCCTTAATATAGGTGCAGTAATGGTGATGGGTCTTTTATAGTTCGTGCTAAACAAAGGTGATTGGATTGTGTACTTTCCAGTTTGGCATGCTTTTTTCTCAATGTTGGCTATATTGCATGGATAGATACAGAATTCAAAGAGATGGATGAATATTGCACACTACAAATAGATCTGAACACAACACGAAAGTATGTGGTGTTTTTTCTGTTCTGATGAATTGCTGAAGGAGAACAGTGAATATATCTTCATCTTTCATGGACACAGATTCTACATCTAAAATTATCTTTTTTTTTTAAACCAGAAATGTGTTATTTTCATATCCAAAGAGTTTTCTTCTTTTCCCTTAGATGGAGAAAAATGTAATTCAGCTCTGTTTCAGAGTGTTGTGTGTGAAGCCTTGTTTAATGAAAGTCTTATAGACCTTTAAATTATAATTTGGTATTTTGTGAAGCCTAATAAGTGGGACAGAAAGGGGTTTCCTATTAATGCTCCTTCCTATGGGTTTGCATGCTAACAATAAACAAATAACCCTTACTAAATAATGGGCTTTTCCCAAATAAACTATTACAAAAGACTATCTAATTATTTTAACTTCAGTTGAACTATAAAGCTCAGATCTATTTTGGTCTGATTTTTGTCAGTAATTTACTAGCAAAAATCAATCCAGAAACACGGTGGTGTAAAATACGTGGTGGTAATCTGACTAGCCTCATGTGTCATATACCGCCTTGTGTCACGGTGTTCATCTTTCCTGACCTTTTCCCCCCTCTAACAAACCACAGCACAACATGCCTTTCTGGAGGATATCCAGTCATTCGGACCTCTTGGCTCTCCATCAAGCACTGGAACTAGAGTATTTGTAACTGTGTTCTAAAGTTGGTGATCCTTTTTTTTTTATATATATATAAATTTCAAGTACACTGAATTTTTATGTGTGATTCAATGCCTCTGGCTTTACACATATGAATTGTCTTAAGAAGGGAAGAAATATTTGGAATTAAAAATTCCAAATTGAAGAATTCAGATTGCTGAATGGAGTTAAAACGTTAGTGCTACGTAAGGAAGCTCTATGGTCTTATATATGCAACGTTTTTAAATGAATTAGAACTGTGGAGGTTGCTGGTACACACCAAGTGAGCCCTGACAGGAGTGAACAAAGGACTCGAACTGGCAAAGCACCGACATGCGTTTTCCAGCTGACAAGGTGGTGTTGAACAACATTCCTCAAAATGGGATATATTCTCAGCACTGAGGTTTGAACCAGACTTTAGCCTACCTAACCCAGAAAATCTGAATTGGAATGCACTCAGACTGTATAATGACAATCCTGTCTAGACCTGTAATTTGTGTAAATTATTGATGAAAATAATTTACTGTGACTTTATTAGCAGCTGATTTTGGAAGTGGATGCAATTTTTCTTTCTTTTGGGGGGGGTATGGGAGGGAGAGGGTTATATAATATTGTCTCTTTTATAAGTTTGGCAAACAGAATGTGCATAATGATGTGTTGTGCCTTAAAGAGAAGACTGTGTTTGTGTGTTATAATGTAATTTTGGTTAAAAACTATGTAGATAAACAAGAAAAACTTTGTGATAATTTTTGACATGACCAAATTTGAAATTCAAAGCAATCAAAGAGCAGGGCTGCACCAAAGCATTTACGCATTTGTTGCAGTAAGAAAAAATAATAAAGGAAAGTTTGTGTTTTTATTTGGATTCTGAATAATTCCACTGATTGTTTGAGGAAAGTGAAGAGTATGTTGGGAGGTTGATACTGGGGACCGCTACCTTGAATGCTAAAAAAGAAAATGTGTTTAACACCTCCAGCATCATTTCTTGATTCTCCGACAAGAGAACTAAGAGCCATATTCATGAATTACTCAGTCCACTGAAAGCCATACAGTGAGTGCATCTGCTGTGTGTAAAGGATCAAATTCCCACCCAACAGTCAAAGCATGCAAGTGGCATTACTGAACGGTGAAAAGATGGAGTTAAACCCAGATGGGGAATAAAACACAAGTTTGTTAGGAATGAAAAATTACTAAAGAATCTCTCACCAGTCAGATGCACAAATGTTGCTACATTTAGTGTGTTCAGGATCATCACAAGTTGCTGAAATTGCTGGCCTGATGACGTTGGCCATTTCAGGAGCACAGTCCACTTTGGTAAATGTAACAGCCTTTTGGTATTTTTTCCATTCTGTTCCACATTTATGTGTCTTCTGTTGTGGGTCAACGTGATTTTCCTCACCCATTTCTGATTGCACGACAACTACATGGGAGCAACCCTAAATGTTTTGGAAACAGAAATTTCAAGACTATGTCAGGCATCTGAGGAGAGGATAAGGAGGGTGTTTTTATGAAGAAATATGAAGAAATATATTACCTTAATTTTCATCATTTCTATCAATAATGACGGTCCATACAGTGATAATTACCTTGCAAGTTTTTAACCCGCTACCTCTCAGCTTTGGAAAATGAGCAAAGTCCATATTGCACAGAGGGTCCCTGGTGCTCCATGTGCAGCTCGAGCGCTCTGAAGCAGCAGCGAGTGGTTCGTCTCTCATGGCAGAAGGTGGAAACTGCTTTTTGGTTTTCAACAGTGTATGTGGAGACAACTGAAGTTGCCTGTGCTCTGACTGTGTGAAGAGGTGTGTGCACGAGATGATGTTAAATGTAAGCTCCAGGATGCCTACACAAGTGACGTAGTCAGCACTGAGGTGAAGGTTTTCCCTCTCTGTGCTGTGAAACCACCGGATTAGTTACCAGGGAGTAACTTTGTTTATTTAAACTTTGTAGGTTCTATGAAAAGTTAGTTGGCGGGTGAAAAGCCTGGAGCCACTAAAAGTCCAAGGCAAAACTCCTCTATAAATTCAAAAAAATGGGATTTCTTTGCTGTGTTGGAATTGGATATACAAGTCACCACACGACAAACTAATGGTAATCATTATACACTAGCTATTTGGGTGATAGAATTGTGTATCCAGAAAGTAAGAATGATGCATGCCTTCTTTATATTTACAGTACCTGTCTAGCCACATTTGTCCTGGAAGCACATTTTTCAAAAAAGCTGTAGTACCAGCTTTTTGTAGATTTTCAGATGGGAAAAAAAAGTGTTTCTACTGGAATAGGAAAATCCTTCAAACAAAGCCCTTCTCAAGTTCCAGCATCATAACATTGCATGCGAATCTCAACGTAAAAGCCTTTATAAAACAAAAAATTGGTATGGTGAATTAGCTTTTTTTTTTTTTGGACAAATCATAGTGTTATTTATATGCATGAAGCAATATTATTTCTCAAGTGTTTTGTTCAGCTTTTCGGTGCTCTTTTCCTAAGCAGATGTAAGAACAAAAAATAGCCCAGCAACAACTGTTGGTTCTTATAACAGGTTTGCAGTGCCTTCATTGGAGTTGTGCTTAGCTCTCCGTGGCAGGTATGGCTCAATTAATATACTGGACTTCTAGAGAGGAGATGGAAGCAAAAGGAGGGAAGTTTTATGGAGCATGACAAAGTTCTGATTTTAACTTGGCTTCTGTGGGCTACCATGGCAGAAGTTAATTATAAAAATTAATAATCCACAAAAATGTACATCCAAAGAAAATTTAAGGATTTAGCTCAAAAGCCTTCTCAATACTAAAATTCTAAAGCAAAATTGCACAGCACAAACACTCTCTTTCTAAGAAAAAAACGTTACATGTCTTTAAGTAAAAGTGTCTAGTACATGCCTGCCTTGTAGAGAGAAATTACTCTGGTACATTTTCCTGCATGAACAATACAGAGGAGAAAATAGCCAAGGCAGAGACATAGTCACGCCAGACTGTTCCAGACAGGTCTAAGCAGATTAAACTGAAGGCTGGTCATTTTGACATTGAGTGCATTTAATTCAACAGCCTATTAATCAGAAACCAGTTTCCCTTCAGCCTCTCCTCAACAGCCAAGATTGAGCACAATGTCATGTTTGCAATTATTTTGGGCAAGTGTAGTATAGAATATACTGCCTTTTGCTGATACTCTAGCGGTTTTCAGTCAGTACAGAACTTGAATGTTCATTTGACATTTGAACAGTCAGCTTGCAGAATACAAGCACTGTGTGATCACAATCACAAGGTAGTATCTTAGCTAGATAGAACTCCATGCAGTTCAGCATATCAGTAAAAGAGAACAGGAAAAACTAAAAAGAATGCTTCTTTTTAGATGCCTGTGGAGATTGTGCACAAAGCTATAGGTGACAGCCAGCTCCCAGATCTGTTTTCATTAGAAACCACTGTGAGCAGCGGTGTTTGCATCTAAAGCAGATGCCGAGTCTGTTCCAGTGTAAGCACTGACAAGGGAGATAAGGCCAAATAAAAATCCTGTAGACAAGCACACTTCATCTTGGTGCAGATAAAATCCTGCAGCCAATTGGAATTGCAGAGTTTATGGAGAATATGGACTTGGCCCATGATAGGAAGACTTGATTTTAGCTGTGAGGTTGTATCCATAGCCAGGGTTTTGCTTCAAAAGGCATCTCTACTTTACAGGATTGATACCAGGCATACGCTCTAAATGAATATGGTATTTAGTATCTCTGAAGAGGAGCTGAAGTGATATGAGCCAAAATCCCAGCAAGAGCAGCATTTTGGAGATGTAACTGAAGCCAAGGGTCTCTGTCATGTATTAGCAGATTATAGTTTATTAGGGCCTACGTAATTTAAGAAAATGTAAATTAAAATGAAAAGCTTGTAAAATTACGTACATCTTTACTATTTCTCAATAAATACACTTGGAAATGTCATTTTCTGCGCTATACCGTGTAAGATGTTTGGTTTGTGGTTGACACCCTCTGTACGCAATGTCTCTTAGGAGAACTGAGCATGATCTCGGACCCTTTTTAAGTATGTCCACACAACCTTTGTGGATCATGCCTGGAGAAACACTGTGGCCATGTGGTGTGGTAGAGACTGGCTCACCTGCATATGGCTTGCAGGGTGGAGCCACTGGCAGGAAACTCCCGATATTCCTCACCATGAACATCAGGTGCTTTGCTCCAGATGCAGGCTGAGAGACACCTAACACCTTTGTTTCTGTGTCCTTGGGGCAAAATTCAGAACAAACCAATGTGATGGTCTACACATAGTGTCTAAATTCCCTTACCAATTCACTTATTAATGTTATACTAAAATTCTTCTTATGGACATGGGTTGTTCAGGAGACAGGCTAGGCTAATGAAGGGAAGCAGCCATTCCAGTCGAAGCTGAGCCTCATGAAATTCCATGAATGTCTTTTTGGCAGAAGTGCTTTGTGTCTTAGTGAGGTGCTGACCTTGGTTTGAAGGCAGCTGTTCCCCCCCCAGTCAGCTTGCACAGGCTTTGAGGCAGAAGTGGGACTGCAGGACTATCAGCACACGTAGACATGACATTATGATCTTGGGAACAACATAGCAAGTGGCAGAGCCTTGGTAATCACGATCCTTCAACCACAAGAGATGGCTTGTAAATAGTACATTTTTTTCCCAGGAGTTAGATTAAAGCATGTCTGTTACAAAGATCATAGAATCATTCAGGTTAGAAAAGAACTTTTAAGATCATCAAGTCCAAGCACTAACCCAACACTGCCAAGTCCACCACTAAACCATGTCCCTAAGCACCACATCTACACATCTCTCAAATCCCTTCCGGGATGGTGACCCAACCACCTCCCTGGGCAGCCCGTTCCAATGTCTGACAGCCCAATGTCTGACAATGTCTGACAGGTGAAGAAATGTTTCCTAATATCTAATCTAAACCTTCCATGGTGCAACTTGTGGCCATTTCCTCTTGTCCTTTCACGTGGCACTGGGGAGAAGAGACCAACCCCCACCTCTGCACCCTCCTTTCAGGTAGCTGT